TTAACTGGCGGCAACTCCTCTTCACTATAGCTGCATCGGTCATAGTAGCTGGTGCTACTCAAATTAAATTTAGAAATGAGCTCCAAAACAAGGCGGCTTTTCCAAAATTGGCAAGGTCGGGACATTTCGAAGAAACATGCTGCGGCCTTCTCAAAGAGACCTTGGGCACTTTTGCAGATTTTCGCAAAAATCTGAAAATGTTCGGATTGACGGAACTCGTATCCAGGAACGAGAAACTGTGCAGGGCTTCCTCCTGTACACGGAGGTGAAAACCAGAGACAAACATGGAAGTTCTTGCAGCGCTTTTGAAGAATATCCAAGCGTTCATGTAAAGGTTTACTAACCCTGCAGATATCATCTTGTCTGGTCACTTGAACAACACAAAATCGAAATCCATGAAAAACTTTACCATCTTGGCTGAAAAATCCAGACTTCTCCTTTGTGCAGATTTCCAGAAAAAGACAAACTTTAGTTCCCTTGTTCAAGTGGTCTTCTACTGTTCAAAAATCGGATTCTATCCTCTTCGTCAAGTTCAAACCTGACATGAGCAAAGGCTGGTGTGGCTTCGGAAGCAATTTCTGAAGGCTCGGACAAAGAAGCTAAGGTGGATTCAGGCAAGGCTTCGGATTTCTTGGACTTCTCAACAAGAAACTGCCATGATTCTGGGGGCACGCGAGCTATGAGTCCCATCATCTTCCTAAACTTCTCAAATTTAACCTTGTCCAAAATCTTCGTCAAAACATCGGCTATTTGGTCATCCGTACCCACCCACTGGATGACAAGAACTTCATGAAAAATCAATCTCTGCACAAATGCGTGAGCTAAATGAAGATGCCGGGTCCTCCTGTTAAACCCGTCGGCTTGCAGCAGTTTCTGGCTGCTCTCGCTGTCAGTTCGGATAACAAAAAGACTTTTAGGTAACTCTTCCACATTTGCTTTAAGAAATTCCTCAATTGTTTTAATGGGCATCTCAGCATTTCCATTGAAGAAATCAAGAAGGTGAAGAACGCCTAAAATTTCTTGGCAACCCTGTGCAATCGCAACCATTTCGGCTTCGCAAGCTGATAACGAAATCGTAACCTGGCACCGGGATACTGATTTCAACATGCTTCCACACCAAAAGATGACATATCCAGAGTAAGACTTACCCCCCCATGAAGCATCAATATACAAATAAATAGTTCGATCTCCGCCACTATTTCTTAGCTCTTGGTGAATATGCAAGTTCGACTTCAAATATCTCAAAAGCTTGTTCAATCCTATTTCATGCTTATGCAAGGGCACAAACTGGCCGGTGGACAGGATGCTCACAAACCTCAAAAGATCTTGTCGGGTTTGACAATACCAAGCAACTCGTCCAAGTATAGACCTATATTTAGAAGCAATTTCGGCAGACAGGGGTTCATTTCCCTTGTCACTAGTATCTTTTTCTAGATCGATCTGAGGTGGTGTATCAGTCTGAGACACATTGGCCAGGCATTCGTAGAAATATGAAGTGGGAATTCTCATGTGCAAATTTTTACTACCAGCAAAACGAGTAATCTCCCTTCCTAGAAAAATGATGGTTCCAGGCTGGTCAGGGTTGAGCTGCCCCGTGATTTTGACTTTGGAAACACGGTCAAGAAAAACATCTCTAAGATTTTCCAGGCCGTGAGGTAAATCACATCCTACCAGGATATCATCAACATACAAAATTAAAACCATGCGGCAAGAAAACTTTCCCCGGCGGAACGCACCTTTGAATGCACAAGGTTCAGTAGGGCAAGACAACAATCCATGGCTTTCGGTGACCTGCTTGGCCAGCTGGAGCCATGCCTTAGATGCACACCGGAGCCCATTCAAAGCTTTGGATGCTATTGCATATGTCGGGCTATGGATGTCTTTAGTAGCAGACACATCAGCCGGTAGCCGAATAGCAACATGGACGCCAGGCGGCAAATCCGCATGCATAAATGCGGTGCTCACGTCCATCGCACCGATGGTCCAGCATTGAGAAGCTACGTCTATTAAAAGGGCTCTTACAGCCTCTGTAGAAGGTGTAGCCGAACTGTATCCAAGGGTGGCTGCCACGCCGTTTCCAGCAGCGATCTGCTGCACAACCAAACGACATCTCACTCCAGGCTTGTTGTCGATCTCTTTAGATCCAAGGACCCAACGGCAAGCGATTGGTTTGATTCCATGAAGTTGGCAATACTTATCGCATTCCTTTTTACTAACGATTTTTCCAAACCGCACACGGTTCAGAGCTTCAAGCTCAACAAGACGGCCTTGCATCGCGAGGTCTCGGTCCAGTGGCTTATTTTCTTCAGAGAAAACCCGGGCGGGCGTCGCAAGGAATACAGTACTGCCACCAAGCTGGAAACTCTTAAATTCTGTCGGCTCTCCGATCTTTGGTAAATAGAAGGGGGATAAAATTCCTTTCTTTGGATCTAAGCCATTTGCTAGGCCTAGGTCTTGATAGTACTTTGCAGGCTCAGGGGTGAACTGCCCACAAAAATGGGACATGACATGGTTGTCAAAAGTGGCAGCGTCGAGACTTTCTTCATCGAATTTTGGGGCAATCAACTTGCTCAGCATTAAAGATATATCCATTGGGGAATCAGGCAACTGTTCACCTAGTGGAATATCCATATCAACATCATTATCCAATCCATCTGGGTCATCAAGGTCCATCTCGTCAAAGTCAGAAGGAGAGTAGGCATTAGAATTATTGTCAGGCTGGTCAACAACAGGAGGTCTAACTGGTAACTCAAGAGGCTGGCTAACCGGCTGGCTCCCTGAAATACTAGTGGATGATTCCCTTTGCAAACGATCCCAATCAAGATATCTACGCTTACATTTTACGGAATGAGCTCTACCGTGTAGCTTTACGCTTCTACACGCAAAACACCCCTCAGTTCTTCCATGACGATCCAACCACTCTTTAGGTGGTCCGGACTTGGGCATGCTTGGTGGCATTAATTTCAAGTTTGAATCTTCATGGATCTGCTGGTCAATTGACGGTCCCTCGCCAGGTTGTGGGGGTTCTGAAAACAAGAATGGACACAACTCCACAGCAAGCCTTATCTTATTTAGCAAACGGATGGACTTGGCTTTAAACACCTTCAATGCGTTCTCAGGTCCAACTTTGCCAGAAACAAGGCAGGCTTTAGATAAATATTCATACCCAAGGTATGCGGCAACAACAAAACGGCTTCCAGACGGGCTCTCCACTGAATCAGGCACTTCTGCAAAAAGCACAGAACCCAAGAAGCCTGTAACAGGCGATGGACGGTCTTGCCCAATGACATGTTGATGCGGCGTGCGGCTTCCCCCAAACACTTTATGATGAAAATTGTGGCAACTTGCAATGTACCGGCAAATAAATGGCAAGCTTTCTGCATATATTGCTAACTGGAAACCCATGTCCAAGTAGTCTTGTCTTAAGATTGCCAACGTTTCTTTAAAGTATCGTACAGTGCGTTCAGCTGAACCAACTGTCTCAAGGGACTGGGGAGCAGCACGTTCAAATCTGGCAGGTAAGGACCTTTCGAGGAAAGATACTAGGCTAGGTTCTGCATCCAATTTGACATGAACAACGCAAGTTGAGGATCCTGTGACACCAATAGACCTTGCCCAGGCTATTACTTTATTGGCTGTGACCTCATGGCTAGCCTTCATATATACGAAGCCCATAGAATTAATGAACTCACTTCAAACCGCCAACGAGGTTAGAACCTTATGTAAACGACTCTTGATACATGTGATAGATCTCGCCCTAGCACGCCGACCTTACCTAAAACTGGGGGGACGGCGGGCCCGGCGGCCAAACTCAAGCTTGGCATCTCAAATCCTTAGTTCCTGCTACCTGCCGGGCCTGACAGACATGCCAGAACACCTCTACAAGCAATGCACTGTGGACAGGCGGGATGATATGTGGCATGACCGTTCATGCGATGATCTCGGAGATCATCCATCTCTTTCTGCCACAATCTATTAGGAGGCCTATCGGGGAATGGACTATTGGGGTTATCACCACTACTAAGGGGGTCATCCAGCCCTGGCAATGGGTGATCAACTGGCTCCTGAGCTGGCACGGCCTGCTCAGATTCTTGCATTGCCTCTGGATGAGGCTCCATGGGAGGTTTCTTACCGCTATACCTTCTAAGATTTGTGGGGTGGTTTCTAACTGCTTCATCGGATGCAAATGGATGGCTATTCTAATTGGCGGGATTCAATTGCAAAGGCTGCTGACAACATTCAACTGAAAACTTAACTGTTTCCGTAACTGAGGCGGCGGGGTCGAAAAACTTCCAATTTCCATATCGCTGGCACTGCTGGCTGCAGAACTCTTAGAACTAGACCTAGAACCCTTAGGCTTAGAAACCTGTACATGTTGGGATTCTTCTCTCAAGTCAATTGCTTTCAACCAAGCACAAAAACTCCAGATGATAGGATAATACTTCAAATGCTTAAGTTGCAACTCGCACTGATCACCAGACATCTTGAAACTCCAGCCCTGGCGGCAGACTTGGTACACTGACAACAAATTATGTTCCACATTCGAGACAAGTGCACGAACCTGGACAGTCCTGAGTGTGGGTCGGCCAGTTTCAGCTTCCTGCAAATTGAGACCTACCTTCAAAACTACCTCGAAATTTATTGAAATCCGGTTGCCATCAGCCGTTTGAAATACTAACGGCGTTTCCAGTGTGCGAGATCGGACAATCTCATACCTATCGAGGTAGCGTTTGCTAACAACGCTTTTACTGGCACCGCTGTCCAAAAGCCACCAATACGCAAGGTCGAGTTCCTCAAAGTTACTATGCAGCATATATGGGTTGGCCTGCATGTCCACACGGCTACAAATGAATTGAGGTCGGCACTTCAAAGGCTTTCTCTGCCGATTTAGTGGAAAAACACCATCCATGCAACACTCTGTGAACATGTTCTGAATATCTCTGCAGGTGAAAGTCCAGTTGAAAACGGAGAAAACATCGAAAACTGCATGTCGCATCTGTTCAAAACGGTGGCATGAAACACGATTCTTCCTCATGCTCCATACTCGAAATCTCATGTTGTCCACAACCGTTCAACTGAATGACTGCCGTATTGAGGTCCACACCAGTGAAGATGTCACAAAGCTCTGAAAAACGATGGGAACAATCTGCAAACTGTTGAAAAGCAATTTTATAAGGCACCAAAACCGATGAAAACTGGTTTCCAGATTGCTTCAAGCTGATCTCTTCCAGAATGGCTGCAAGTCCAAATGATGTCTCATTTGACAAGTGGTGTGCAGCATCTCTGGCAGAGCTCGCAACACTTGGGATATCATCTGAAGATGAAGTTGGTCGTGGGCACCTGCAAAACGCAGGCAGTGGGACATGACATGCAAACGGTCGATCAACACCATGTACGGAGTTCAAATTGGGCTCTACAACATCGGAATCCAAAAGCTGTGGCATCTCTTCTAAAGATTCTAAAGAGTCATGTGATAAGGTTGCATGATCCAGTGAAGTGAAAGGCAAGTGTGACGACTGTGGACTCGTCAATTCAAAGCCAACATGTTCGTCAAAATTCGGAACGCGGCTGCAGTCGCTCAAAAAGCTTGCGCTCACTTCGCAGTCAACATCGACTGACTGGGGATCCGGAAGCCACGCATCAAAAGTGGAATTCCCATTGCAAAAACTGGCTGCAGGTGTGTGCTGGTTGTTACTTACTGCTGTCAAAGCTTCGACTTTTGAAAGAGCTAGTGCGAAACGAAGATCTAAATCTTCTTCATCATCTGAGATCTCCAATCCAGCTTCACTGATAGTAATCAGCGACTCAGTTTCTGAAACTTCCTCCAAGACCGAACAACTGTTCGAAACTGGAATGCTTTGGGATGCCATAGGGTCAAAAACTCTCGGCTTGCAACTCTTCCAGTAAACTAAGGATGGATTGACCGCTGGCAAACTCGGCGCATTGGTGGACAAAAGAGGCAAATCTGAAGAACCGACGGCACGACCTGACGAAATCTCTGCACCAACAGGGATAAAGGCACTCAAACGCAACTCAGATTCAGTCTCACCGGCTTCCGACCACTCTTCTTGCTGCTCTGCCTCCTCATCAGGCTCCTGTTCTCCTTCAGTTTGCTCTTCACCTTCCTCATTCAACTCAGCGGCTCGGTAGCCCTTTGGACGGGCTTGGAACTTTCCCTGGGGCTTCTTAGCGGAAGAACCCTTGCCGGATCCTTTTCCCTTTGAAGGCTTACCCTTAGCACCTCTTTTACCCTCAGTCTTGTTTGAACCCTTTGATGGATTGTCACCAGACTTATGCTGACCTGATGACCTGCTTCCATTGCTATTGGCTGGAGAGGCACTACGACAATGCCGTGCAAAATGCCCTTTCTTTCCGCACTTAAAACATACTAAATCTTTCTTGTCTCCAGACTTGTTATCTGATGAATTACCATGATCTTGTTGCTGTCCAAACGGCGACAATGTTGGATTCACTGTCTTGAAATCTTGGCTGTTCAACACGGTTCTCTGGTAGAAATCTAAACATCCCTGGCGTGCACTCTCGCAAGTTTCGGCGCAATGCAAACTCACATAGTTCAAACAATTGGGAAATGTCTCAAGGTTAAGAATCAACCATCGATACTTGTCAGGGGCACCAACCCGCAATTCATGTACCAAGTCCAAATCATTACAAGTGGATAAAACCTTCTCATAGCTATAGAACTCAGAATCCAGTGAAAAAATGAAGTCCTTCAGACTCACATTTCCGCGAACTCGGTACGCAAGCAACTGGCTTCGAAAATGAAGTCCTTCACCTCTCGTAGTGATGGAAAACTCCTCCTTGAGTCGCTGCAACAACGAATACCCATAGGTAGTGCCACTTCCTACACTGCTCTCGAAACAACGGATGAGTGCTGAGCAACGTGACGACGCTCCTAAAGCTTGTTTCAACACATAAAACAACCTAGTGCTTCTTTCTCGTTCCGCGCTGCTGAGTGAAGTAGGATTGCTCTCATGAACTGGCAGTCTCATGCTAAGCACTTGTGCAATTTCACTACTAAAAGCAGGTTGCAAAGTGGAAAGCCATGCTGTTAACTGTTCAATCCAATGGCAAAAACCAAGGATTTCGGCAGGACGGTTACTCCATTTTCCAACATCTGGCATGGGCATGGACGGAATCAACTTGCTGTCAAGTGTCCTAAAAGCACCTTTGTTCTCATCTTCCCCTGAAGGTGGTGGCGGTGGCACTCGCTGAAACGTCCCTGCTACAACAGGCTGACTCGGAACACTTGCTGCTTGTTGAGACGCAGCCTGCTGATGAAATTGCAAAACGGTCTGCTGAAAACTTTGGAACTGTTGCTGCTGCATCTTCATCATTTCTACCATGTTCTTACTTACTTCTACCAACGCATGAGCGGGATCAGAAACGGTTTGGGCACCAACCGCTGGTACGTTACTGACTGGTGGCGAAGTCACGGGGTTGCCAGCTACAACTGGCGGGCTTGAACTCATTGAAGAAGAAGCTGCAGGGTTAACCCAAAGGCTTTGAAACGCTGTCGTGATCTGCTGTGTCAATCCATCACTGCTTACTCGAAGTTCCCCTGTCGCAGGATCTGTCTGCAATCCTTTAAGGATCTCAGAAACCAATCGCTCAACCAACAACTTGGTTCCTTCAGAGGCAGCAGGATCTTG